TAATTTTGTCACATTATCAAAGAATGCAATAAGATTAGTCTGGCATGATCTGTTTTTGGCAAACACATGTTGGCTTTTGGCTATTAGTTTGAAACTTCACAAGGACACTATATATTTATGCACTGAAAGAGAAGAGACAGTTCCATTGGTTAATTGTTCTTACTGTCAGGGAATTTCTCCTTAATTCTAGGTTGGATCTCTCTGAAAAGTTTCCAAATTTTTGTTGGACACTTATCAAGTCTCCAATTATTCTTCAGTTTCCAAATCAGAACTGATTCTAGGCCATGATTTCAATATCTAACTGGGCCAAGTGGGTTTTTTTTCCTCATATTTTAATATTGTAAGTCTCAGTTGAAAGTCCAGCTTGTTTTAGAATCTAACATTCTAAGGTTAAGGAGGAGTGAAGGTTGACTCAACTGGCCATTAAATAAAAGAATAAATATTCTAAATATTTAGATGCCCGGTGACCACAGGGGAAAATTAGTTTCTGGGCAAGAATAACCATCAGTGCAATTGTCTGCAAAGAATTTTAGCCAGATTTCTCAACTGCTTTGCAGATTTTAAGATAATTTTCCTGTTCTCCCTACTTTTTGCAAGCTTGGCTTTTACTACCTTGATATCAGTGGTGAAATTCAATTTTTTTTTACTATCTGTTCTGTGGTGTGGCAGGGGGAGGATACTGCAAAATCGCCATTCCCACCGCATTCCAGGGGAAGGATACTGCAAAATCTCCATTCCCACCCCACTCTGGGCCCAGTCAGAAGTGGCATTTGCCAATTCTCCAAACTACTCAAAATTTCTGCTGCTGGTTCTCCAGAACCTGTCAGAACCTGCTGAATATCACCCCTGGGTAGGATACATATGTATGGTGATCTCATGAGTCTATAATCTATAAATTATGTCAACTGCTGATTTTGAGAGAGTAGTCAGACGGATGTTTTAATATATCCTAAGCATCCCATCTTAAACCATGCATAAATAACAGGAAAAATGATTGTGAAGTCCTAAGCAGTTGCCACTCAAAGATATCAACTGCATGCTGGAATTCTTTGAGGAACATTTCCTTATTTCTCATGGTTCTTTCCAAGCCTACCACTGTGACTTGGCCNTTTTTTTTTATCTTTAGCCAATATTGGTATTTTTGTGAATTGTTCAAGGCGAACCGTGGTTGCGAGATCACATCAAAGAGAAAAAGCAGTGAAAAGGCAAAAATGCATCTGTTTGCATTTAAGTTGGGAGTGGAGACTCCAACTGATAAACACGTGCATTATTTATTTTGTGCTTTGAGACATTTGCAAGGGCAGATGGATAGCTTGCTCCGGTCATTATCTTTCTGATGGCAAAGCAAAATTGTATTGCTCTAAACAAATCTGTACTAAAACGATTCCTTGATTTGTCCACCAGATAGAACATACCACGCAAGATATCCTTCAGATACCCCAGGAAGAAATGGAAAAGTTCCAGCAGGTACGGCTGGATTTAAAGTCACAGGGAGACCCAAGGAAACATGAGCTCTTGATGTAATAACTGTAGAGCCATTCTTGAGAAGCTAAAATATCTACCCATTCCTTTTCACAGATGGAATATCATACCTTGGCCACGAGTTACCACATCACTGAACAACTGCAGATTGCATACATCAACTTGATGGGAAGCATCCAAGGTCTGCCTTCTACATTTCAGCAGAATATTGAGTCAGCTCTCCATAGTATTGAGGAACTACAAGCTACCGTTACCGGGGCCCAATCTTTCAAAGATCTTTCTAGCAACCTTTTGATTCAGAGCAAGAAGACAGCCGTCATGGCCCAGAAGTACGTAGATGATATCCTGGACTATGTGGGGCAGAACATTCCATTATCCTGGCTTGTGGGACCTTTTGTTCCTGCCCTCAAGAATACCTCCACTGAGCCAGATCCTGCAAAATCTAATGAAAGGGAAGTGGAAACTCTGAAACCAGAAGCTCCAGAGGAAGCTCAGCGTCTTAGTATTTAGTCCAGAGGGTGGCATGCTACTCCTGAGATACAAAGGGGAGTGTACAAAAGAAGTTGTGGATTCTCAGTGGTGGGGAAAAATTGAAACTAACACGATTGAAATATCCGTGTCTTCCAAGTTGTATCACGGAGTTGGGAGCTCAATTATTTCAACAAGATACATGTTAGTTGATTTTCCTAAGGGCTTCACTTTGAGAAATAAAACAACCGATTCATGTTGTATTATAACTTGATTTTTAAGCTTCCCAGCCCAGGTATACTGAGTAGCACCACTGTAACTGTTTTTGACTCTGATTTGAAATAAATGTCATTGCACAAAAAATATAGGTAATTGTTTGAAGTTTGTTTCAGGGTCTTGCTATAGATAATCCATGCTTCGGGGTAGTGATTATTTTGCAGTATTCTGCAGTCTTGACTTACACAATACAATACAATAGCAGAGTTGGAAGGGACCTTGGAGGTCTTCTAGTCCAACCCCCTGCCTAGGCAGGAGACCCTATACCGTTTCAGACAAATGTCTATCCAACATCATCTTAAAAGACTTCCAGTGTTGGGGCATTCTATTCCTGCCAGCTTGGTGTCATCTGCAGATTTGATGAGTTCCCCATTTATTCCCTCATCCAAATCATTGAT